TCGCAGAACATCAGTGGCCCAGAAACATCAGGGTTTCTGTGCACGCGCAAGCACACAACTTGTTGGGGTCAGGGAAAAGGCCCTGCACTGAGCCCGCAGCAGGCACGCATCACAGAGCATTCTCGCGCACGCATTCCCTTCCGAGGTGTTGTGGGCACCCACTGGAATCCCACGTTTTGCCGGGTCCTGTGGGCAGACCACCGACGCATCCGCTGGACCCCGTCCACGGGGGGCGACAGGAATCATTTGTAAAGTAGTGTAGTTCCCTATCTACTGTTTCCCACACCAGAGAATTCTTGTTGGGGTCATCTTCAAATTTTGCCAGAGCATGATCACTAATTATTCTACAGTCAGGTCATGATTCGTCATTGGTTGTAGCTCCACGCCTTCATCAATGCAGTCTCGCTTGTGCAGACGGCCTACACTACTCATGATTTTTGTCTGTGAACGTGAGTTCGGCGCTACCTCGACGCGAAACTTGCTGATCTTAGAGGTTGTTCAAAGAGAATCACTCACCCGTATCCTGTGCAGTTGGAAATCTTTGCAGTCTGGTGAGTACTCATCAACTCCGGGATAATCGGTTAGAGGAATGGCTGGTACGAGATAGTCTTCTGGTGGCGTCATACGGTAATTCAGCACCTATTTTCGTTTGTTTGCAGCAACCAGTGAAGCATGCTTGATAGCATTCAGAACTCACCTCGCACAATGCGTCCCTGTCAATGAACTTGGGAGTCATTGCAGCTCGAATTGTGTTGTTTGAGCAACCAACACATTCAACGCATTCTGAAATATTGGGTTGAGGAAAACAGGAAATCGAAGAAGTGGAAAGTCAAGGAAAACTTGAATGTGAATAGGGTTTATTGAAAGAAAAGTTTGAACAGTACCTCCGCTAAGATAGGCGTGCAGCTCTTCAGCAGCATAGTAGCAGCACTCCCCTGGTTTGAGAATCATATGATTCAGAATCAGTGGAGAAAACACACCAACGTCTCCCGGGAAATCAACGGACATCTTTTGAATCACTTTAACGGTAGCTTCGCTCAGACAACCACGCACTGAAAGAACAAATATTTTCAGAATTTTGAGTTTATGCCACCCGAATGCCATATCTCAGGGGGGGGGGGGCAAAAAAAGACATTTTGCCCTGTCGCACTTCGGCCTTTTTTCTTCGCAGAGATTGCCGTCGTTGACGGAAGTTCCTCAGCAAAATATTCCCTAAATGTCCCTCTATAAGTAACGCAGGCCCTCCTTCACTGCCCTCACCGTCTTCAGAATATGACGTCATCTGTCACCGTCGTCGAGCTCAGGAGGCCTACAGTAACTGCTTCAGCCTGAAGCTCTTACATAATTTTCTTAATGTTGGATAGTTTCCTAGGGACATTAGCTCTAACTATGCAAACCCCTCGGAACCCGCCCTTCGAAAACCCGTCCGATCAGTCCGAGAATACCCATTGCGCCTCGAACCCATGTACATGTATCAGGCAAACTTTTCTGATGCACGTCCACTAGATATCACTATGAAGATTTCTTAAATGAATACCGATACCCCGCGGGGCGCCGAGGCGGGGTTCCAGGCTTCATTACAAAAATCGATGGACTGGTGAGATGCGCGGCGATCAGCAGGTACCATCATTTCGGCGGTCTCTAGGGGTATTGATCTACGTGATCAATCCTGGAGGCATCAAAATTTGTAATCTGACCCTTAAATTCAAATTCAAAATTCCTGGGGGTTCCCTTTTAGCCATATGACCCGACCCCAAAGGTGCGAAGCACATATAAAAGCCTTACTGCACGGTCTTCAGCAAAGGGGGTGCCTTCTATAACGCTCGGCTTTTACAGAGGTTAGCGGGTTACGACATCGTTCATGGCTTATTCTCCCTTAGTTTTTCTTTCTTGTAATCTGAAATGTTGCTTGGACGAATTGTTTCAAAAAGATGCTTCGACTTGCAGGCTCCGAAGAAGGCGAGTGCGCCGAAACGTTAGCCGGATAAATCGTATATCAATCTCGGAAGCTTGGACAGAAGCAATTACAACTGTACATACAATCATGCCGAGATTAATTGAGAGTCGTACATGGAAATGAAATGCGCTCTTCAATTCTAAGTTGGGAGCACACGCTTTGAGCTGAGCAAAGTGTGATTAAATCCATTTGAGTCTGGAGACAAAATGTCTTTTTTTTATTGCCCCCCCCGTATCCCGTATATTCATGTTGGGTCGACGTAATCATCGATGATTACATATTCAGAATCGTGACGTAAACCCTTGAACCTGTCAGCTTACTCCGCCCTCACTCTCTTATTTCAGTGATTTCTATTCTACCTTCCATTTCTTCTTTTCACCTGAGTTCCGGAATTCTACCCCAATCCCTTCAAGTTCCTTCCTGAAGCTTTTCAATCCCGGACTCGAACTGTTCGAAAATGCTCACCTCCATTATCTAGGCATTCAATCAGTTCATCGACGTACTCGCTAACGAGAGCCGGATGACGTCGAGTTCTTTCCATCATTTCCCTAAAACCAGTTGTCGTGTTTTGTTTTTGAGACACTAATGATGGAGAAGCGGATGACAAAGGAGTTTTTCAAGAAGAGCCGCCGAAGCAGGCCGCCAACGCTTGTCGACATTTCAAAGAATGCGGATTCTTCTCTTTGCCCAAAACAATCCGCAGGTTCTCGCAATTATGACTGTCCATGACGTACCGTAATGGTGGAAAAGCTGAATGAGCGGAAAATTCAAAGTGGAAATTATTCACCTTACTGAGCAGCTTCCTTCAGCAGGAAGTAGAAGTTACGCTTCAAAATCGCTATTGATTTTACGCGCGCAATGCACTGCTGTCGCACAAGGAATGATTGATATGAACATATTAACCATTATGGTAATAAATAGACTAAAGTTTGCACCTTCAATATTTGCAAGAATTTCGGCTGCTGGCCTGAATCCACATAATAGCTCAAACTGTGTGAGTGCATATGCGAGCTCTGGCTTGTGGTGTCGGTCTGGGTAGTGAATAGGATCACGCTCGTGTAACCGAACAGCCTGTTCCTGAAATAATGCTAACATAATAACCAAATAAAAATCATATATAAAGTAATAAATAAGTTCATCAGTGGAGTAAGCAGGTGGTACTGATAATTTGTGTGTTGGGAGGAGCAAATGAGCTCATCTTCAAAAGTAAAATTTCGTATCTCCAAGGGAAGTGGAAGGACGTAAGCAAACCAGCCCTTTTGGCGCTTCGGCTGGGACCGTATGCTGAATGTTGGGGAGGGGATGGAGTCCCCGACGGTGGACGGACCACTTCAACTCGGTCCTTAGAACCGCCACAATTTGGTGCTTACCTCAGAACTAAGCCTTAAAGAGAGGACGGGTCCGTCCCCTCTCCAAGGCTTAGTCCTGGGGTGAGCAAACCAGCCCTTCTGGCGGAGCTGCTGGACCAGCTGCACCACTTGCGTCAGTACTCCTCTCCTATCGTACCAACCGAGTTGAAGTAAACCGTCGACCGTTGGGGACCCCATCCCCTCCCCAACATTCAGCATACGGTCCCAGCCGAAACGCCAAAAGGGCTGGTTTGCTTACCATTCAACTATGATATGTGCGCTTTCGCGCGAACGGCGCCCCATAGGGTTGGCAGGGCTATACATACATGGTTTGAGCGGGTCGATAGAAAAGTAAAGCTTTGGCATGGAATAGTTTGTCAACTTTCTAGATGGGAATGCACATTCTTCTCCATTACTCGTTTGCACTCAATTCTACACAAGATGACCCGTCCTTCACATCATTCAAAACCGCTATGGAGACGAAAAAACCACGCGAGTAATTCAACGCGAGCTTCTCGTTAAGACAGTAAAAAAGTATAAGGAACGGTCTTCACCTTTTCATCATAAATAGGAAGGCACCAACCTTATTAGGGTGTACTTGGAGACTGAGCGATCGAGCTATGGACATGACTTTCATTGATGAAGGGCAGATGAATGTCTTCCTTCCAGTTGTTGTTGCTCAAATAGCCGGCAGAATGACTTTTGGCGATGAACGAATGAAAGGCGTGTGGCGGAATTTGAAAGCACCGCGGGACCATCGGGATGAGGGCCCATCCAGAGCTGAAATAGAGAATTCTCCTCGGTATTTCTGTGGATCCTCCACACAACAATCAGCTGCGACAGCCCCGCACGATCTATATTTTCTAGGACGACACGTGGTCGCTGTTGTGGACGACAGTGCGCGGTTTGCAATTGGAAATCGATCTGTAGTACAGTTCGTTGTCGTAGAAAAACCTGTGTCGTTCTCAAAGATATTAAACCCCAGACGCGCTAAATTCGATGGCAAAAATCTCACTGAGGTGAATCGCTGAGCCTATCCAAAAATTGTCGGTCACTCACCTCAGCGTAGGTCTCATCCTCGTCCACTTCAAAATTCTTGTGCCCGGCGGCGAACAGCCGCGCCACTTCGCTCTCGGTGCCTCGTTTCCCCCAGTTATACTTCTTCACGTGACACTCAAGCCGCTGCATCGCCGCCAAGGCTTACACAACTCGAAAAATGGAAAATGAGTAAATCAACCAAAAAAAAGTGCAAAAAAATCGCTCAGAGAAATATTCCAACGACAGATGGAAGAGGATCTCTAGATAGCGGTTCCAAACAGATGAACCCGAAACAGTGATTGGTTCCGCTGATTTTGAGAGAAGTCGTTCCTGAATATGAGATTCCGCAAGAAATAGGCCACCTCAGTCTATGCCATAATATGCCTTCGTATAATGTATGTAAAACAAGGGGGGTGCGGACGTAAGCAAACCAGCCCTTTTGGCGCTTCGGCTGGGACCGTATGCTGAATGTTGGGGAGGGGATGGAGTCCCCGACGGTGGACGGACCACTTCAACTCGGTCCTTAGAACCGCCACAATTTGGTGCTTACCTCAGAACTAAGCCTTAAAGAGAGGACGGGTCCGTCCCCTCTCCAAGGCTTAGTCCTGGGGTGAGCAAACCAGCCCTTCTGGCGGAGCTGCTGGACCAGCTGCACCACTTGCGTCAGTACTCTCCTATCGTACCAACCGAGTTGAAGTAAACCGTCGACCGTTGGGGACCCCATCCCCTCCCCAACATTCAGCATACGGTCCCAGCCGAAACGCCAAAAGCTGGTTGCTTTTTTTTACTCCTGCTGCATTTGTAAACCGCAGGTAGGAATTTTAATTTCCGTAAATGATGGAAATCCTCTCCCACTGAATGGGACCTCTTCCTTGCATGGTCGTAAGCGGGTAAAGGGTTAAGCGTTGACCATATCTCTTCCCGGATGCGCCAAGCACCTTCCCTCCATTTCGAAATCGCACTAGCTGTGAAGCAAGGCAGTGTAAAAATTTGCGCCGGGTCAGATGTCACTCTACCGCCTTCG